TGGTACATGACACCTTGATGGGATTGTATTGGAATTCATTAAGAAGGCCTTCTAATCTGTTCTCTCTTTCCAAACCCTCGGAGACTCCTATTATCCAGACATTACAATGCTTGATTGAATCTTATAAGTCTCCAATTGTGATTTTTAATTTTCTACTTTCTTCTTCTTGTGTTTGATCTGACTGCATTATTTCTGAAGTTTGTCTTCAAGTTCTTATATTTGCTCTTCTATTTCATCTGTTCAAATTCTGAGGGATTCCATGCCCTTTTTTATTGAGTCAATTGAATTTTTCATTTGCAGTATTTCATTCTGACTTCTCTTTAGAATCTCTATTTATTGGGTGTGCTTTTCTTTCAGATCTTGAATCTGTTTATCATTGCTTCTAAGTAATATGATTATTAATTTTCTGAATTCTTTTTCTGGCATGACTTCAAATTCTTCTTCTTCAGCCTCTATTATTGAAGGTTTAGATTGCTCCATTGGTGAGTTCATAGGTTCTTCCATATTCTTATTCAGGATTTTTCCTGAATATCTTTTTCCAACCTTTCACTTCCAGTCTGCATGCTCCTTTGTTGGAAAGATGTGTTTCTTGTAAGCAGCAAATAGATTGGTTTTGTGTTTTAATCCATTCAGCCAGTCTGTGTCTTTTAACTGGAGAGTTGAGGTCATTTACATTCAATGTGACTATTGATAAGTAGTGACTTTCCCCTGCCATTTTTCCAAAGATATTTCTAATATATACTTTGAACTTCCTGTGATCTTTTCCTAAGAGATTTTCTTCCTTAACCTTCTTTCGTATTGATGACCATGTTTCTGTGTGTAACACATTTTTAAGCATCTTTTGCAGGGCTGGATGAGTGATGACAAATTCATTTCTGTTTGCTATGAAAGGTCTTTATTTCATCTTCATTCACAAATGAGAGCTTTGCAGAGTATAATATTCTAGTATAATTTTTTTTTCTCTTAGGACTTGGGCTATATCTCACCATTCTCTCCTAGCCTGCAGGGTTTCTGATAAGAAGTCTGCTGTGAGTCTAATTGGAGATCCTCTGAAAGTAATCTGGCATTTCTCTCTGCACATTTTAGAATCTTCTCTTTATGTTTCACTGTGGTGAGTTTGATTACAATGTGTCATGGTGAGGATCTTTTTTGGTCCTTTCTATAGGGAGTTCTGTGTGCTTACTGTACTTGGACATCTCTTTCTCTCTCCAAACCCGGGAAGTTTTCTGCTGGTATTTCACTAAAAAGGCCATCTCATCCTTTCTCTCTCTCCATGCCTTCAGGAACTCCTAGAACCAGAATGTTGGGTTTTTCAGTAGTATCCTGTGGATTCCCAACAATATTTTTTAGATTCTAATTTCCTCTTCTTATCTTTGGTTTGACTGTATATTTCCCTGTGCTCTGTATTCTAAGTCTGATATTCTCTCTTCTGCCTCACTGATTCTGTTTTAAGGCTCTCCACTGCATTTTTTATTTGTTCTATTTAATTCTTCATTTCATTTTGATTTCTCTTCAATATCTCAATTTCATGTTCTATTGAATTCTTCATTTCATTGATTCCTCCTTAAGATTTCAATTTCATGAGGGAGTTTTTTTTCATGTACTGCATGAATTTCAGTAGTTCTTCGTTTGCTTTTATTACTTCTCTGTAATAGTATCAATTTTTTGAGTTCCATTTCTTGAATTTCTTCTGTCTCATTGTCTTCATAATCTTGTATTGAATTGCCGTGTTCATTTTGGAGGGTCATGTTGTCTTCTTTATTCTTGTTTCTTGGATTTTTGTGTTTGTTGTTCAGCATTTGTGGAGATACTCATTGGTTTCTTCTTTTTTATCCACTGTTTCGGCTTTTATGGTTGTACTATAACTCTGTAGATAAGTGGACTGTCTGCTTTTGGTGACTCTTTAGAGGCTTGTAGTGGATGTGGTCAGAGAGCTCCATTCAGTTCTCCAGGGTTAAGGGTGCACCTAAGGTGACACACCCAGATTTGGTATGGTAAATCTTCTCTCTTTTTTTTTTAACCTGAAGTGAAATAATTCTGCTTAGCTGAGCTCTTCTTGATGGAGACCAGCGCCTAAGGGCTAGCCCCAGTGGGTATAATATTTGTCTGCTCTGTCCCAAGGACCATACAAAGGATCAGTGCAGTCCTCAGTGTAAGTTGATTCCCCAGCAATGTCTCTCACCAGGTAACCAGGACTTCCCAAGCTTGTGGCATCTCCTACCAAGACTATTCAAAGTCTCAGCCACACTATGAGTTCTCCCACAGACCCTAAGTTTTTTTTTTTCACAGTCCCAGTGCAGAAGCCTCACACAGTCACAAGGCCCTAGCCCCCTGTTATTTCTCCCCACCAGTGTCAGGTTTCTCTGCTCAACTGATTGCTGGGTGCATACATGAGCTGGAGCACTGTATGTACGTATGTCCAAAATGGTGTTTGCTCTATCGGTTTGTATGCCTTTGTAAGGTGATCCAAGAGAGATAAACATATCTGTACAGTCATTTCTCTCTCTCTCTCTCTCTCTCTCTCTCTCTCTCCTCTAGTTATCCTGGTGAACTTTCCCCCACAGGGCTTCAAGTCTCATTCCCTCCAGGCTCTTCCTGCTGCTTTTTCGCCAGCGTCTCAGGATGCAGCAGTCTCGTCTCACCTCACTTTCCAGCACTGGTGCTTAGGCTCTCAGCTGCTGGAGTCCCAAGCTGTGGATGCCTACGCCCTCCATGCAGGTCTATAGTGTCCCTGTAATTTCAGAAGAGTTTCCTCTGCCATTTTTTCCTACCTTTTCCCAGAGACTACACTATCTTCACTTTTTTTACTATCTTCTCCTGGACTAGATCAGGAAGCTCCTTCCCTATTCTGCAATCTTGGAACTGCCTAGACTGCTCCACTTTTTATCCAGTTCCCTGCCTATGTGCCTAGGAGAGAACCAGAGGATAGACCAAGTGCTTGGTCCCTGGGAGCCACATGGGAGACCCAGACGAACCTCCTGCTCCTGACTTCAGCTTGGCCCAGCCCAGTCACTAGGGACATCTGGAAAGTGAACTAACAATTGGAAGATCTCTCTATCTCCCCCCCTCTCTCTATGCACCTGAAACTTTCAAATAAAACAAACAAGTCTTTTTAAAAAATGAGTAAGTACACTGAGTAAGAGGGTGAAGTGGCAAACATCTTATGGGGCAACAAAACTATAGGCTTTGGGATACTCAGAAAAGCACCTGGTACTTTTGATCAAAATACCTCCGAAATAAATTCATTGCAAAATGTATACTGAGATAAAATAAATCTAAGTGGGGCCGGCGCTGTGGCTCACTTGGTTAATCCTCCGACTGTGGTGCCGTCATCTCATATGGGTGCAGAGTTCTAGTCCAGGTTGTTTCTCTTCCAGTCCAGCTCTCTGCTGTGCCCAGAAGGGCAGTGGAGAATGGCCCAAGGGCTTGGGCCCCTGCACCTGCATGGGAGAGCAGGAGGAAGCACCTGCCTTCTGAATTCGGCTCAGCGCAGGGCCAGCTGTAGCGGCCATTTGGGGAGTGAACCAACGGAAGGAAGACCTTTCTCTCTGTCTCTCTCTCTGTCTCTCTCTCTCTCTCTCTGTCTATAACTCTGTCAAATAAATTTTTAAAAAATCTATCTAAGTGCTACAACAGTGATGGCTTTAATCACTGTTTCTGAAGCTATTATTAAGGCAGCTGGTGCACTTAGCTAAAGAGATCACTCACGGGGCCCAAGTGTGGAGTAGGGGGTAAAGACGCCGCCTGCAGGGCCAATAGCACTTATGGGTGCCAGTTCAAGTCCCGGCTGCTCTACTTCCAACCCAGTTCTCTGCTATGGCCTGGGAAAGCAGTGGAAATTGGCCCAAGTCCTTGGAACTCTGCACACACATGAGAGACCCGGAAGAAGTTCCTGGCTCCTGGCTTCAGATTGGCGCAGCTCTGGCACATGAGGCCATGTTGGGGGTGAACCAGCAGATGGAAGACTTCTCTCTCTTTCCCTTGCCTCAAGCTCTATGTAACTCTGCCTTTCACATAAATAAATAAATCTTTAAATAGAAGAGAGAGAGAGAGATCACTCCTGTTTTGGTAAATAATATCACATCATCTGCATGTCTGCCTTTTCTGTCTCTTTCAAAGAAAGTATTTGCATAGATAATCCAAAAGTAACACAGTGTCATAAAGATACATGATAAATGGAATGGGGATAAATGGGACAGCTAATATGTAACTATGCTGAGAATACTTAAAATCCAAGCAAGGACCTGTAGAGTACGTGTGTATGGTCTCATTCTTGGGTGAAGCATGTTGATAAATGTGTGAGTGCCTCAGATCCCCTTTCCCACACGGTGTGAGCAGCTCAGCGCCCTCCTCTGGGCTGCCCTGTGGCTTAGAGAATTACATCAGGCAGAGTCCACTCATGAGATGGAAACCACATCAGTCACCTGAACAGGGAAAATGTAACCTAAAAACTACCAACTAGAGAAATATGGTTCACTACTAAAGAGGAAAAGAAAGCTCTAAGGAGACAAAAGGGTGGCATTGTGGTGCAGCCAAGCTTAGGACAACAGAATCCTCCAGCACAGTGCCTGGTTCAAATCCCGCTACTCTGCCTCTGACCCAGCATCATGACAACACAACCAGGAAGGTAACATAGGCAGGTTCTTCAGACCCTGCCACTCAGGGGAGGCCAAGAAGGAGCCACTGACTCCGGGCTGCAGCCTGTCCTAGCCCCAAATGCTGCAGACATGTGGGGATGAACAAGTGGACAAAAGATCCCTTTTCTCTCTTTCTCTCTCTCTCTCTCTCTCTCTCTCTCACTTTTAGATAAAAATGAGAATAATTAAAAACATGCATTATATAAGATTATAATATAAACCCATTCTTAAACAATTTACATATAACATCATAAGTGTAAGGAGAGAAGAAAAAATGGTTACTATCTACAAAGACATACACAGACAAGCAAAGACAAAAACTAGTCAGCTTTCTGTTGCAATAATGAAATTCCTGAGGCAGAGTAATTTTACAAAGACAAGAAGTTTATTATGGCTCACAACTCTGGGGAGCCAAAGTCTCAAGAGCACAATGCAGACTTTCACAGGGGCCACCTTGGAAAAGCACAATATGGCAGCATCGCCCACGTCTCTCTGTGTCAGTGAGGTTCCTTTACCACTCCCATAAATCTACCAAGATTCAATCACAGGGGCTCTGCCCTAACAACCTGCTCCATTCCAATCACTTCACAAAGTCCTCAACTCTAACACAGTAATTTGATTAAGTTTCCACCCCCTCACTACTATTAATATACAGCTTATAACTCTGCAGTCCCAACTGAGCTTGGCAACACAAATACTGAAACCATAGCAGTTGCTGTCTTCCATATTGGTATAACTGGTTACAAGGCCAGAGGTGCTATCTACCACTTCCTTCTTCCACTTCCCATTTCATGTCTGTCACCCTCAGTCAGAATTGATAGTCAATCAGATAGTTTTGTTTTTTATTTTCATTTTATTTGAAATGAAGACAGAGATCTTCCAGACACTGATTCCCTCTCCAAATGCAAACAACAGTTTATGGACAAGGCTGCAGACAGAGACAAGAACTCAATCCAGATTCCCACATGGGTGGCAGGAATCCAACTATTTCAGCCATCACTGCTTCCTCCCAGAGTGAGCATTAGCAGGAAGTGAGAATCAGAAATAGAACCAGGACAGGATCACAGCCAGGCATTCAAACATGGGACGTGGGGTCTCAAGCAGCATCAGGAACCCTGCTCCATGAGCACCTTCCTCGACAAAGTATTTTATCTGGAAGAATGGACGTCTCCTTGCTGGGAGAATCTGAGTCCTCAACAGTCCTGCTTCACTTTGTTTGCTGTGGTTTTTCACTCACTGTGACAACTGGACTTGGATCATAAAGAGGCAATGCATTGAGTAACTAGAACCATGCTCATGGTCAGAGCTGTCTGCAGTTGAACTTGATCAGGAAATTCTCGTCTTCATCTTCATCTTGCTCAGGCATCCACTGCTACCCTGCTAGCAGCTCTCTTCTTCCCACAGCTACAGTGTTGACACAGAAGGGACTCCAAGCCCTCCCCTTAGATTCCCTGAGTTAACACAGCAGTTCGTTCACTGGAACAGAAAGTTACTGAAGTGTGGAAAATCATGTGTGTTTCTCCATCCAGGAAAGGAATTAAATGAAGGAGACCATTATATACTGATCCCCTAAAAATCTATCAGTTACTCATTTCCATGGAAATGTTCAGATGGCCAACTTCTGTATTCAAATGGAACAAACCCTCCCAGAACAGAGCTGGGGACCCTCCTCAACCTGTAGGCCGTCTGCTCACATTCAAGTTGGATCATTAAACTCTGCTTTCTTGGGCACAGTAATTCAGACTTCAATCCAATCCATGTCCAAAGATAATTTAAAAAATCAATAAAAAGTATTTGAAGACAAAAAAAAAAACAAATTCTCATAGTAAAATTATCCTATCCTAAATCAGTTCAAACAGCTGTGAACTTGCATCTTCTGCTGTCTGAACACAGGCATGAGCTAGCAGTTCTCATAATCATGAGGCAAGAAAGCTCTTGGGCCCTCCTGGACAGTAATGGAGACTCAGCCCCTGGGGGAGCTCCATCCACTCCAGAGCCTGAGCTGAGCCCCTCCCCTGGGGGCCTCCCAGCCTCCTCCAAAGAAGGAGACTTGCTAAGGGGCACAGGGAGCCCCTCAGAGCCCCGCTCTGTGGGGCAGATGCTCAGGGTCATGTCTCCCCGAAGCATGAAGCATGGATAGAGGGTCCCAGAGAAAGAAGCTGGGGGGAAGGAGAAAATGTGGGAGCCATCAGTCATGTTATAGAAGGAGACGTCCCCCTCACTGTAGTCCAAAAAAATCCCCACCCTGCAGGGAGTCTGCTGAAGGGATAGAAGCTGCTGAGGCTTAGTCCAGGCAAGGTAGCTACTGTAAAATGAACTCACCACCCAAATCCCCTCATCTGGGGACTCTCTACACCAGCCTGTGCTTGTCACATGCTCCATACAGACCCCCAGAACCCAGTCGCCGAACCTTTCACTCCTGATCTCCACCTCCCAGTAACATCTTCCTGACGTGATGCCCTCAAGGCCCAACACACTGTAGATGTCCTCAGAGCTCTCAGGGACGGCCTGGCAGCTCACACTCTTCCTTTCAGGAGAGACGGTAAGATTACGATGGGCAGAGCTTGGATCCAGAGTGACAGACCCTGCACAGAGAGTTTCCAATCACGCCAAGTTCCCTCCTGCCCCACAGTAAGGATGCACAACCACCCCCAGACCCACCTAGCTGCATGGCGGAGGGGGGAGGCCCTTGAGATAGGGCCCTGGGATGCAGGCCCGTGGCCTCCAAACAGGAGGAGGACATCTCTGAGGGTAACTGGTGTGACAGAGACCTTGACAACCAGCCTGGGTTTGTTCCTGTCACCTCAGCCCCCACCCCACCACCAGCATCTGTACCAGCACAGAGAACTGAAGCAGAGGCCAGAGCCATGGGGGCCACAGGAGGAGCACCCAGAAAGAACACAAAGTCACTCACAGGCCTGGAACCGTTCCTTCCGCCAATCTACAAGAGAACACACATTACATATGAGGGGTCTGCACAGACTGCACAGGTCAGCCTAGCACCTGCTCTTCTGAAACAGTGATGGGGGAAATGTGTGGGAGACATTCATCTGATGGACTGTGTCCTGCACACACACACACACACACTCACTCCCTCACACACACACAGCAGTCTTTTCCAATGCATAAAGCTTGACACCAGAGACAGAGAGGCTGGCCACTAACCAAACAGAAAACACGTTTCCCAGATTTCACTCTCCAGTTATGCTTCTCACATCCTTAGACACAAATCATCATGAAGCTAGGTTTTCTTAAGTGTAAACTGGGGATGCCGGCACTGTGGCTCACTAGGCTAATCCTCTGCCTGCGGCACCGGCACAACAGGTTCTAGTCCTGATCAGGGCGCCGGATTCTGTCCTGGTTGCCCCTCTTCCAGTCCAGCTCTCTGCTGTGGCCTGGGAAGGCAGTGGAGGATGGCCCAAGTGCTTGGGCCCTACACCTGCATGGGAAACCAGGAGGAAGCACCTGGCTCCTGGCTTCGGATCGGCACAGCGCGCTTGCCATAGCAGCTATTTAGGGGGTGAACCAACGGAAGGAAGACCTTTTTCTCTGTCTCTCTCTCTCTCTCACTGTCTAACTCTACCTATCAAAAAAAAAAAAAAAAGACTGGTGCTACCCTTTGTAGCACATTCATCCCAAGCTAACTGCAGTGTTAATATTAAAAAAAAAAAAAGAATAATCTGGGGTGATCAAAATTTCCAGCCCCTCCATTTACATCAGAAGCACTGATAGGGGCCAGGTAAAGCTGTTGCCTGTGGTGCCGACATCCTTTATGGGCACACCAGTTCGAATCACAGAATCACAGCTGCTCCACTTGCGATCTAGCTCTCTTCTATGGCCTGTAGAGATGGCCCAAGTATGGCAGTAAAAGGTGGCCCTAGTCCTTGGGCCCCTGCACCTGCATGGGAGACTTGGAAGAAGTTCCTGGTTCCTCGCTTCGGACTGGCCCAGCTCCAGCTTGTCATTTCCAAACTTTTTTAAAAATCACTGATTGAGCTGAATTTGCAAGTTGCCTGAAAGCCACAGGTGGAGAGATGCAGCCACAACTGGCTGATATGAACCTGGAGGATGATTCTAGAGATATCAGTGTGCTAATTCCTAGAACCAGTGACTCAGTCACCTAACAGGAAAGGGAGCTTAGCAGATGGGATAAAGGTTAAGGACCTTGGAGGTAGTAGAGTTCACTGGATGATCCAGGTGAGCCCAATCTAATCATGGGAACCCTGAAAACACAGAACCTGCCAACCTTGTGAGCCAGAGAAGTTTATATGAGGAGCTGACCAGAGTCTGACAGATGCCTACATATCTGGCTTCAAGACAGAGGAATGGGGCATGAACTCAGGTGTGCAAGTGGGCTCCGGTGCTGGAGAAACAAGAGCCTGCAGAGGGGCTAAAGACTTGCATGGGTTTTAGCCCAGTGAGACCTGTCTCCAACTTCTGACCTACAGAGCTGTAAGACAGTCAGTGTGCGGTGGAAGCCACCACAGCTGAGGTCTTCTCATGGCAACAGACAGATACCTGCTGTGATCACGGGTGCTCAGGAGCTACGCCCAGCATGGAGGAGGGGAACTGGCAGGAGAAGGTGTCTGGAGAGAGCATGAGGACTCCTGTCACCTGCACAGGGAAAATCATGACCTAGAAATTCCCATGCACTGTGGTGGGACATGGAGGGACTTAGAGGGGCCAAGAGAACCAGTGGGCAAGGGAAGGTCTAGATAGGAGGAAAAGCCACATAGTGCATCAATTTCCCATTCAAACCAAGTCACCCAGACCATGAACTCTACTGTCATGGAGCATAGTCACCAACAGTGCCCCCATTGTTGGGGCAGGACCTGCCCTGCCCTTCCCCAGCTGACCACACAGGTGCTGAAGGACCAGCTGAGCCCCTCCTCCCCAGCATGAGCACCTGGAAGGACTAAAAGGAGAGCACAGGAAGACTCTCCCCGACCTCCCCAAGGCCTCTGCATCTCCTCCACCTCCATGCTCATCCCTGGGCAGGAGAGAGGCAGGTGCTGACCAAAGCAAAGGCTCCATCCACAGTCAGAGTCTGAGGAGTCCTCAGGGAGAGAGCTTTACCTGCCCGGTGCAGGGAAGGCAGCGTGGGAGCAGTGGACACAGGCACAGGATTAGAAGGTTGACAGTAATAGTAAAGTGCATTTCTCCGGTGGTGATAATTTTGTGACCATTATTACACCTACACAGGTTCATTCATAGAAATTGGCATTTCCATCTTGGTGGTGTGCTCGATAGGAAACAGAATTATATAAAATGGTGGGGCTGGTCCATGTGACCTCTGGAAGAGAGTGAACATTTCATTTACTAGTTTCTCACTAAGACATTAGTTGTCAAATAAACTGCTCTAAGTTTTCTTCTGTTATCTCTCCCAAGTGTCACTAGTTGCACACAGCAAATTCCAGAAGGTGTCTCAATTCTACAATTTTTTTATAAGCACTCATCCTGGCATCTGTTTTATACAGCTCACTAAGACATAAATCATCCTTGGCTTCAGTGCCTCCCTCAACATCATGTCTTATAAAAATCTTACATCAGTCTCATTCCTGTCCTCCATATTGTATTTCTGTAGCCTCTTTAACAACTTCACTGTAGCCAGATGGGCAAACCTCGTGACCTCATCACTGGGTCCCCTGCTTTGTGGTGATGTCACTGTCTGCCCCTCTGTAATGAACCACTGCAGACTCTGTGTGACCTTGTGCAGCAGCTTCAAGCACAGCAGTTGATCCACCATCATCACACTCACTCACATGGATTACTCCAACCTCTGCAGATTTCTCAGCATTTCCACATCACCCTTAAGGGCAGTCACAGGACCTGGAAATGCTAAGGTTTCCTGACCTTCCACATCATTTCCTTCATACTCAGTCCCCTGGATAAACTGTAAATGTTCTGCTTAAGGAACCTCTGTGCCAGGTCTGGTACACATTCTCCATTATCCTTGAAGGCTTTTAAAGTTTGTGTTCCTCTGCTCATTCTACTGAGTAGAAATTTGAGACAGTGAAGGTGGCCTTCCAGGGCTGCTAATGAACTGGAAGGTTTCCATTGTGGCCCCCAGAGTCTATGCTACATCCCCACTTAACAAGAAGCTGCAAGCAGCCAAGTCCCCCATGAAAAGTGGCCTCATGTACAGGTCTCTGTTCTCTCCTCAGTCACCCTGGGATCCTGGTCACCTTTGCCTAGGAGCTTGAGAACTTTCCCAAAATCTGAATTGACACAAAGGACCCAATGCCTGTGAATTTCTTGGCACTACCAAACTTTGGAGAGGAGGACAGCAGGGAAGATAGATTCGTCTGATTTATTTAGAACAACTAACTTACTTTCCCAGTCATATAAGAGATTTTAAGTGCTGGGACAAGATAGCCAGCCTACCAAATGCTATCCCGTCTATGAGTATATATTATCCCTAATGAACAGGAGTCCCTCACACTCCACTTTGGAGTATTATTAGTGAAGTGAAGGAGCATCCATGAGTTGCAGGGGATGTGAAGGACTGCATCCACGGTCATCTTGAGCTGCTGGGTTTGCTCCACTGATCATAAGAGCCTACACACAAGCATCCTGACCTCTGGGTGCAGCTATGTGGGCTGCTGTCCAACCTCTTACAGTTCCCTGTGTGTTCTGAGGTGACCAGGCGCAGAGTCACCATGACCATGAGAGAAGAGGTCTTCAGCACGGACGGGGATGCCGCCCTGGAGATGCTCCTGTACTCCCAGTCAGACTCTGAAGAAGGCGTTCCCGCCGCCTGCGCTGCTGCCACCCTCAGAGCGCCTCCTGCCCCACCTCCTTCTCCGGCTGAGAATCCCACCGACTCTTAGGCACGCACATCTCCAGGGATTTTGAAATGGGCATTTACATAAAACTCCAGAACCCAGCAATGCCACAGATGTGCTGTCTTTGAAGGCTGTCTGGGAAGATCTTTGTTCTAACATCTTCTCCTGAGCCTTGTTTACCCCTGCAAGTGCACTTAGAGTAAGTTCTGGTTTTTCAAGTCAGGTCCTTCATATGAAATGTGTGTATTTGATCTGTAATATATGCTATGCTGTAGAGCACTTGCTGTAGTCTGTTATATTTGAAATAAAATAACTATCAGGCAAAAAAAAAAAACACCTCTTACAGTTCCTTGTGTGATATCAGCTCCACATCAGAGTTAGCTCCAGCTCTGGACTCTAACTTCCTCCCACTGTAGACTGAGGAGGCAGCAGTGATGGTTGAAGGATTCAAGGAATGAACCAGGGATGAAAGTGCTTGCTCGCTCTCTCTCTCTCTCTCTCTCTCTCATTCTCAAATATTAAGATGTTTTAATTTAGATTTTTCCTGAAATATAAATACAAGGTGTGCAGGATTCAATTCTATCTCACACACCCAAGCCCTGTAAACCCTCTGTACACTTCCTACATTCCAACACCAGGGCTGGGTCTTCAGCCACTGCAGTCACGCTGAGCCACCTGCACAGCACTCACTCTCTCCCTCATCTCCTCTTCTCTTCCCCACATGCTCTTTTCTCCCACAGTTTGCTTGCTGTCCTTTCTCTAGGTAATGATTTCTACCTTTCTATGTTTCTCCTTTTCCAGTCTTCATATATCAAAAAATCAAACCATGACCTGAGCTATTAACAAATACAGCATTCTTCTGAGGTGTGAGAAAATCATAGTGAACAATCACATATTACATTTTTTTATTCTTGTAAACACACACACACACTCCTTCTCAGGGGCAGGAGTTTGGTCTTCCAGCAAAGACAGGGGCTAAGATGTCTGCATTCAGTGTCAGAGTGCCTGGGTTTGATTCCCAGCTCCAACTCCTAATTCTAGCAACTGGCCAAGGCACATCCTTGGAAGCAGTAAATTATGCATCAAGCTGGGTCCCTGCCAACCTTGTGGGAGACCAATATTGGGGTCTTAGCACCTGACTTTGGCTCCAGCACAGTTCAAAAAGCTCCCTGGCCATTGCGGATATTTGGGGAGTAGAACAGCCAATGAGAATTTCTCTCTCTCTTCTCTCTCTCTCTCTCTCTCTCTCTCTCTCTCTCTCTCTTCCTCCCCCCACCCCTCACTCTTACTCAAAAAAAAAACATATTTTTTAAAAAACATGGCAGATATTTGGCTTAGTGATTAAAACACCCGCACCCACACTGAAGAATCTGGGTCAATCCCCAGCTCAGGCTACAGACTCCAACCTCTGGCCAATGGAGACCCTGAGGCAACACTGAGGGTTGCTGACATGTATGTGGGAACCCGGATTGAGGTCCCAGCTCCTGCTTTTGGCCTTGCCTAGCCATGGCTGTTGCTAGCAGCTAGGGAGTGAAATAGGAGACAGAATATCTCTCACTCTCACTCTCTGCATGTGAAATAATTATTGTAAAAGAATTATTTTTTATTTGAAAGGCAGAGTTACAGAGAGAGAGAGAAAAACACACAAACACACACACACACACACACACACACACACCCCGCGGGAGTGGGGGGTATCTTCCATCCACTGGTTCACTCCCAAAATGGCCAAAATGGCCAGAACTGGGCTGATCCAATGCCAAGAGCCAGGATCGTCATCTGGTATCCCACATGGGTGCATGGGCCCAACAAACTGGACCATCTTCAGCTGCTTTCCAAGGCACATCAGCGGAGAGCTGGATCAGAAATGGAGCAATCAGGACTCGAATCTGTGCCCATATGGGATTTTGGCACTGCAGGTAGCAGATTAACATGCAATGCCACAGCACCCGCCCATGTCAAATATATTTTAAGTTTTTCTAATCTTACTCAGAGTACACAAATGTAGCATACAATTTCAGATATATCAGAGACCCCAACCCAGGAATCCATCCACAAACATCCCAGAGCCTCTGTTCCTGGATTTAGAACATTTACTCAGAGCAACTAACTCCTCAGCAACCACTGACACTTAGAGGAAGAAACCCAGGCTGGACAGCGGTCAGAGCACGAAGAAGCAGAGAAGACCACATTCCAGGGCCAGGAAGAACAAAGTGGGCATTAAAGGAAGAATTTGGGGGTAAGAAGAACATAGATCCCATAACCACTGAGCGCTGAGGAGTGAAATGTGGTTCCCAGGGTCATCTGGAGACCGGCACTTCCTGATCTACACAGTCAGTGCCCTGCTCTAGGCTCTCCTCACACCTGAACTCTCTGTGGTCACCCCGCCAATGACAATGGTCAGTTGAACAAGGGGTTTTAATAAGGTGTTGCTAATCCTAACCATGACCTGCAGTAGACAAAGGGCTCAGAATGGAAGCAGAGTTGTCTCTTTCTCTCTCTCATCCTCCACGGAAGAGCCCCTGCTGTCTTCCCACCAAGGCTACAACACTGACAAGGAGACCAGGACACCCAGCCCATCTGGAGTTGAGTCCACAGGTAGAGAAGGGGCAGGGCAGAGGCAGGGCAGGGAGACAGAGGAACCATCAGCGTCACTTACCAGCATACAGCTGCGCCTTCCTCCAGGCTGAAAGGAAACACACCCTGGTGAGACCACAGCCACACCACCTGCTCAGCCCTGCCTGCCCTCTGTGCTGAAGGTCAGACTCTGCAGGAGGAGAGAGGCTGCACAGGAGGGGCCTCCTGCAGGTGCAGACAGCAGAGGATTGTGGGAAACTCCCTGACCACAGATCAGGAAGCCTGCAGGACAGCTGAGTTGCACCCCTGCCCCAGTGCTGGGTGACTTTTGGGTGTCAGCTCTCTGCCCTGTGCCTCAAAACCCACAAAGACTCCTGTGTCAATGGCCCCTCAGTGCTGTTGACCAGGACCAAAAACTATCTGTGTGAAAATAGTGGAAAAAAAGAGCAATTTATGGGGCCGGAGCCCTGGCTAACTTGGTTAATCCTCCGCCTGAGACACCAGCATCCCACATGGGCACTGGGTTCTAGTCCTGGTTGCTCCTCTTCCAGTCCAGCTCTCTGCTGTGGCCCAGGAGGGCAGTGGAGGATGGCCCAAGGGCTTGGGCCCCTGCACCCACATGGGAGACCAGGAAGAAGCACCTGGCTCCTGGCTTCGGATCAGCGCAGTGCTGGCTGTGGCGGCCATTTGGGGAGTGAACCAACAGAAGAAAGACATTTCTCTCTGTCTCTCTCTTTCACTGTCTATAACTCTACCTATCAAAAATAAATAAATAAATTTTTTAAAAAGAGCTTTTACTCCATATTGATAGCAATTTTCTAATGTATTGCATTTCTTTTTTTTTTCCTTCTTATTATTTATTCTATTTTTTCTTCTTCTTCTTTTTTTTAACTTTTATTTAATGAATATAAATTTCCAAAGTACAGCTTATGGATTACAATGGCTTCCCCCCTATAACGTCCCTCCCACCCGCAACCCTCCCCTTTCCCACTCCCTCTCCCCTTTCATTCACATCAAGATTCATTTTCGATTCTCTTTATATACAGAAGATCAGTTTAGCATAATGTATTGCATTTCATGTTGGGATATTAGAAAATTCAAGGAGGAAGAAGAAATAACATGGATAGTAAGCCAACTCCAGAGTCTAATGGGCCAAATATTCCCTGAGAAAATGTTTTTTAAAAAGAATATATTGGGCCGGCGCCGCGGCTCAGTAGGCTAATCCGCCTTGCTGCGCCGGCACACCAGGTTCTAGTCCCGGTCGGGGCACCGGATTCTGTCCCGGTTGCCCCCCTTCCAGGCCAGCTCTCTGCTATGGTCAGGGAGTGCAGTGGAGGATGGCCCAAGTACTTGGGCCCTGCACCCCATGGGAGACCAGGATAAGTACCTGGCTCCTGCCATCGGATCAGCGCGGTGCGCCAGCCGCAGCGCACCGGCCGTGGCGGCCATTGGAGGGTGAACCAATGGCAAAGAAAGACCTTTCTCTCTGTCTCTCTCCCTCTCACCCTCTTTCCCTCTCTCACTGTCCACTCTGCCTGTAAAAAAAAAAAAGAATATATTTATTTATTTGAAAGGCAGAATTACAGAGAGAGAGGTGAGAAAGAGAATCCTCCATCCACTGGTTCACTCCCCAAATGACCCCAACAGCCAGGGCTGAACCAGGGCAAAGTAAAAACCAGGAGCTTCTTCCTGGCTTTTCATGTGGGTGCAGGAGCCCAAGCTCTTAGGCCATCTTCCACCACTTTCCTAGGAGCATTAGCATGGAGCAGCCAGAATACGAACCAGCACTCATATGGGGTGCCTGAATTGCAGGCAGATGTTTAACAGGCTACACCACAACAACTCTCTAGAATGAAATACTCTAGAGAGAAGCATCCCTACTCTGAGAAGCCTTCAGTTCATCCCACCGCATCTCCACACCTGGTCAGCAGCCCTGTCCTCTGCCATTCATTTTTTCACCAGCACCTTTGAGGAGCAGGAGAGGAACAATTCCCCATGGGAGGTGTTTTAGGCAGGAGAGAGGGGACAGAAATCACACTCCCAAACTCAATGACTCCCTCTGTTCCTCTCCCTCTGTCTTGAACTCTCACAACTCCTAGCATATGCCTTCTGGTGCAGTCAAGAGCTAGAGCATTGGAGGCTAAAACACTGACAATTCTCATATAGGGCAGAGGCCTGGACTGGAAAGAGACCCAGGATGCAGGTAGACTCCATGCCCATCACTGCACACACGTCTTGGAGCACAGACTGCAAACAGTCACCCAGATGTGAGAGAGCCCAGGGAGCAGGTTCTGCCACCACCACTGCCACTGCTGCACCCAATGAGGGGTCCACATGTCTGTGCCTGGATGGAGACAGGAGGGGACAGCTGGGCACAGATGGGACAGGGACCACACAACATCTGGAAAGTCACTCACCAACCAGGTAAGCTGTCTTCCTCCTACCTGAAAAGCAGCACACAGGGAACAGGTGAGCTGAGACCCAGAGCATCCTCCACAGAGGGACACAGAGAGTTCAGGAGGGGGAGCAGAGCTTACCGAGTTCTGCCTGGAGATCATCTGAAAGAGAGAGAAAAAACCTTGAACTTCCGTCCCCAAGAAAAGCAGAGACTGTGACTGGAGAACCCACAGGAAAGACCTCATCTGTATCCTAGAGAAGTTCTTAACTCCAGACCCACACACAGCTCCAGCCTCCAGCTGTCCTGTCTGGGTCTCCACAGCCACCTGTTCTGGAGAGCTGAACCCACAGACTCATCTCCCAGCATCCTTCCTCTCAGCACCAGCTGCCCCACCCCCCCGCCTGGCCCCTGGCCCCCTACCTCTGGCATTCAGGTCCTCCTCCTTAGCCCGGTGTTTCTCCCTCTCCTGCACCTTTGCAGAGTGCTCTCTCCTGGTGAAGCAGCCAGCCCCAAAGAGCAGGAGCCCCAGCACCGTCAGGCTCCCAACAAAAGCTGCCTTCCAGGGAGAGGCCTGTGGGAAGAAGGGCTCTGGGGCCCAGGCAGAGACCCAGTCAGGGGAGCTCCCAGGCCCACCCCGCACACTCAGGGATGCCTGCACCACCTCCCAAGCCCTGCCAGGAATGAGAAGCAGCACCGACCTGGGATGGACACAGCCGTTGCCTTCTCCTGGCCCAGGATGGGATTGAGGACAGAGCAGCTCACACTCCCTGCAGAGCTGTCTCTCACCACCAGAGCCGCCTCCACGCTGAACAGCCCTGCTGCGTCCTGGGCATGGGCCTCAGAGAACTCCAGGAACTTCTTCCCGCTGAGGTCTGTCCACTGCACCTGGGGCTTCGGGAACCAGCCTGAGGCCTTGCACACCACGCGGACCCCGTCCTGCTCCAGCCCTTCAATGTGCACTTGAGGGGCAGAGCCCAGGCCTGCAAGAGGGGAGCTGTAGAGACCTTGGAGACCACTTGGCCCAGGGCCTCAGCAGGGTCTGGGTGTGGCACAGCTACAGGGGAGTCACTGTGTTCCATTCTGGAGATTCCGTGGGAGGGCGTGGCCTGAAGGAGGGAAAGAGCCCTGGGACCCATGGGGGCACAGAGTAGGGGGCTTTCTCCTCATCTCTGCTGAAGGGAAGATTGAGGCCAGAGAAACCAGGAGCAGGAACTTGACCCCAGGACTCCATCCTGAACCTCTAATCCCCTCACCCCGCTCAGTCCTGGGGCACCTGCTATGATTCCCACTGCCTCTCTCTGTAAATCACTTCCAATACTACACCAGTCAACAACCCTGTCCCCACTCCTTCCCTCATATCCACATCCTCAGTTATCTCTGCCAGGTTTCCTTACAGACTCTGAAACTCACAATTACAGAACTTAGTACACAATGTTGAGTCATACGTGATAAACTGATTACTAAAATGCCCCTTTTATTTTGCCTATCTTCGTATAGAGCTAACCCTCTACCACACACTCTGGGGTTCCCTCACATTGGCACTCTGATGTTGTCACGTGACCCTATTTGGACAATGAGAGAGCAGCTTAATCTGACTTAATCAGAGGCTTGGAAAGCACTTGTGCCATTGGTGCTCTTGTGAGCATTTGGAGCGTGAACCATCAGATGGAAGATCTTTGTCTCTATCGCACCTGCCAGGGCACCTTCTATGATTCCCACTGCCTCTCTTTGTAAAGCATTTCCAAAACTACACCAGTTAACTTCTCTGTCTCCCCACTCTCTTCCCTTATACGCACATCCCTGAGTTATCTCTAGCAGGCTTCCTTACATAAGATTTTACTTATTTATTTGAAAGAGTTACAGAGAGGCAGAAAGAGAGAGAGAGAGGTTTTCCATCCACTGGTTCACTCCCCAGATGGCCACAAGGGCAGAGCTGTGACAATCTGAAGCCAGGTGCCAGGAGCTTCTTCCAGGTCTCCCACAAGGGTGCAGGGCCCAAGGTCTTGGGCCATCCTAGCTGCTTTCTCAGGCCATAGAAAATAGCTGGATCGGAAGTGGAGCTGCCTGGACATGAACTGGCACCCATATGGGAAGCTGGCACTGCAGGCAGTAACTTCACCTGCCACACCACAGTGCAGGCTCCCTTTACATACAATTAAAACTCACAATTTCATAACTGAGTTCACAATTGTGACCTATGTGTGATAATTGAGTATTAAATACCCGTGTACTTTATCCTTCTGTAGGAGAGCTGGCCTTCCACCATGCTGTAGCTCCTTCACATTCTAGCGCTGAGGTTGGTCATGTGACTCACTCTGGCCAATGGGAGACCAGTTCATGTGACTTAAGGAAAGGTTTGAAAATCACTTGTGTCACTGGCTCTGCCTCTGCCATTGCCTTAGGAAGGACAGGCCTGGGGCAACCACTGCAGGATGAGACTCCTGGGCACTGCTGGTCACCCAGCCTCTCTGGGAGATGCTGTTCTAGGGCAGCCGACAGTCAAGAATGGGAACAGGGGCCGGCGCTGTGGTGTAGGTTGTCTAGCCGCCGCCTGCAGTGACAGCATTGCTTGTGGGGGCCGGTTCGAAGGTTTATTTTTATTTATTTGAAAGAGTTACAGAGAGAGAGGTCTTCCATCTGCTGGTTCACTCCCCAGATGGCCACAACTGCCGGAGCTGTGCTGATCCGAAGCCAGGAGCCAGGAGCTTCTTCTGCATCTCCCACATGGGTGCAGGGGCCCAAGGACTTGGGCCATTTTCCACTGCTCTCCTAGGCCATAGCAGAGAGCTGGATCAGAAGCAGAGTGGGGGCTGGTGCTTTGGTGCAGCAGGTTAAAGCCCTGGCTTAAAGCGCTGGCATCCCACATGGGCGCCGGTTTGAGACCCAGCTGCTCCACTTCCAATCCAGCTCTCTGTTATGGCCTGGGAATGCAGTAGAAGATGACCCACGTTCTTGGGCCCCTGCACCGACATGGGAGACCTGGAAGAAGCTCCTGGATCCTGGCTTCGGATTGGCGCAGCTCTAGCTGTTGCAGCCAGTTGGGGACTGAACCAACGGATGGAAGACCTCTCTCTCTCTCTGCCTCTCCTCTCTCTGTGTAATCTGACTTTCAAATAAATAAATAAATCTTTAAAAATAAATAAACAAATAAATCTTTGAAGAAAAAAAAAAGAATGAGAACACACCCAGTCCATGTGGTGACCTCCCCAGCTGACTACAAGAACAATAAGTAATGAAGTAAGACCTCATTCTCTCTGTTGAAAATAAGAGAAATTCCCCCCTTTCCTCTATTTTCTCAGAGTGTTAACTTTAGAGCACTGGGAACTATGAATGCTTCTCTTCATGTGAAATATTATCATTTGAAAAGCAGATAGGCTTCTGGCCTGCTTAATGACCCAGGAACATCATCCTCATAGACCTGGAGGACAACACATTGAACTTCAAGCATCAAAGAAGACAGCATCCTTTCTCCTCCTTCTTGTGGAAGCATCAGAGCCTCACTTCAGCAAGTAAAATTACTTCTATTATAAAAATAGGACAAGTAGAGCTGCACTGAGGTGTAGAAGGTGAAGCCTCTGCCTGCAGTCCCAGAATCTCATATGGGTACCTGTAGCAATCCTGGTTGCTCTACTTCTGATCCAGCTCCCTGCTAATGTACCTGAGAAAGCAGCTGAAGATGGCCCAAATACACGGGTCCCTGCACTCAATAGGAGACCCAGAAGAAGTTCCTGGATCCTGGCTTCATCCTGGCCCAGGTCCATTGCAGCCATTTGGGGAGTGAACCAGCAGATGTAAGAACAATTCTCTCTCTCTCTCTCTCTCACTCCCTCCCCTCCTTAACTCCCACCTTCTCTATTTCTGCCTTTCAAATAAAATTAATAAACCTTTAAAAAAAATAGAAGTTTGTTTTCCTCCAGATAAAGCCTATTAACCAAGATATGGTCACTACAATTACTAGGTCCATTTAGGGTGAGTTCTATGTGGTAATCAGGTATTATATCTGCTTCGAGTCTTCTTACTTGAGGATTAATTATTGTTTATTTTGAAAACATGGATGAAGGCATTTGGTGCAGAAGTTAACATAACGCTTGAGATGCCCACATCCCATATCTGAGTGCCTGGGTTCCAGTCGCCTCTGCTTCCAATCCAGCTTCCTGGATATGCACACTGGGAACCAGCGGGTGGGGGATCAAGTGTTTGTGTCTCTGCCACCGACATGGGAGACTCAGGAGTTCTGGGATCCTGGCTTCAGCCTGGCCAAACCCAACTATTGTAAGCATTTGGGGAGTGAATCTGTGGATGGGAGATCTCTTTGCCTCTTTGTTGCTTGCCTTTAAAATTAGAAAAGATAAATAAATAAAACTTTGATTCACATTCTAGGCCATTCATTCAAGAACCCTTCACTTCAGACCCTTGAAGATCTAAAGGGCCTGGGCCCTCATCACAACACAAACAGGGGCCAGGTAGCCTGATAAGAGCTACCAAGGGCCCAGCAGCCGGGGCCACATCAGTGGCTGTAATCACTGCATCACCTACCAGCACTGCCATTGCTCACTGTGCTCTGTGCTGAGGCACCACACTCTCCATGGACCAGGGACCCACACGTTCACCCATGGGGGTGAGGGGCCCACACTGGGGCAGATCCCAGCAGGACCAGACGGGGAGGGAGGAGCAGCTGAGCACCTGCCCGGTGGCTGTCAGCAGGATCCACCCTGAGGTGCTCTGCATGCCCTGCTCCACGTGAGGTCCCCGCCCCACCCATCAAGGCCCTGTCCTTGGAGAAGGCTGCCCATGCCAGGAGCTCAGAGAGCGGCAGCTGGCCCCACACACTGCCAGACTAAACCCAGGGCCGTCGAGGCCCCAAACGAAGCTGCTGAGTAGAAGGAGACTAAGGTCACAGGCAGTGATGGTGTTGGCCCCAGGATGAGGCACAGGTAGAACTTCAGGGCTCTCCATTCTCTTCCCTCCAGTGCCCACTCTGCCCTTGGGTGCCATGGTGTGAAGCAAACACCCAGCTGCATAAAACTAAATAAAACTTTTTAAATGTGAGTAATGTATATTATATCTGCTTGGCTACACACACCCACACACACAAAAAGATTTCTTTCTGTCTTTGCAATCCCTTAAGGGTTTACTGTGATGTGTAATGTGTTCTGGTTTGGTTCTTGTTGAGCAATCAAAGAGGTGTCTTTCTCCAGTCCCTTTATAAAGAGGATTGCTGGGAAAGAACCTTGGTTTTGGTTTTATTTCCACACCCAGACCAACAATGTGTGAGCAAACCCACCTGATACTAGCCAAATCCAACCCAGATCAGTTTAAATTACTCAATGCCCATATTGAATGAGTATCTTTGCCACAGGCCACTGAGGTTTCCTGGCTTTTTTATACAGTTACTACAGGAAAGCGTCCTTGACACACAATCACCAATATTCCCACCACTGAAGAACAGACAGCAGTGCAATCCCCTGGGAGTCTCTGCAGTCACCGCTGCCCCCTCCAACTCTGTGTCCCAGATCCACTCACTCAGCTGGGTCTGCTTTCTATCTTTCCCCCCTGTCTGGGCCCTGCCCCCACCCCACTGTGGCTGTCTGAGGTCACACAGTCATCCTCAAATCCTCAGAACTGCTCTCCACGCCTCCCTTTGCTCACCTCCCACTCACCCTCCTCCCAGTCACCTCAGTCAGTGCTCCCGCCCCTGCTCTGTTTAAAGTTTCCCCTCCTGCATGCAGACCCCAACACAGCACGCAGCACCTGCACTGACCTGGGATCCTCCTTTCCTCCTCCTGCCTCCCCTCAAACTCCATCATCTGTGCCCCTCATGGACCACACACCCAGTGCAAGGGCTACTTGGTTCACTGTGAATGGCCATGGCTGCTGTGCTGTGTGACCCCTGCCTGCTCACATTCCAGTCCACAGGGGAATCTTGGGATTTTTACCACAGTACTCAGGGGCTAGTATACTGTCTATGCCGAATGACCTTCTCCTGGTCAGTGTGGGCAGTGCTAGTCCAGGAATATCGACCTCTTTATTGAAGTCCTACTGGCACTTCCTGCATCCCCACATCACTACCCCCACTCACCACAGTGCCCCCCTGAATGCCCAAGCACACCAGACTGGCTCCCATGCCAAGGGTTTCTCTCTGGGTACCTCACTACACTGAACTCTGTGCCCCCAGGTATCCACTTGGTGAGACACCTGCTTCCTTTGAGCTGTGCTGAGATCAACAACCAGGCCCCACCTGATCCCCATGTAACAGCAGGGGCTGCCCTCACTCTCCACCCCATATCCTGATCCCTCCATTGTCACACTTGGCCTTCTTTTTTTTTTTTTTCTTTAGCAAATATCCCCTTCTAACTGTATCCAAACATTCATTTATTTCTCTTTTTTTATCTCAGCCTCTAGATCATAAACCACATAGGGAAGAATCTGCTTCAATCATGAGTCCCTGGTACCCAAAACAAGGCATGGCACACACTAGAGGCTCCATATGCGAGATTTCTATTGATGATTCAAAGATTTAGTGAGTGAGTTGCCTTTCCTGCACTTGTAAAATGAGAGGCTTAATTAGGTGAGTTTCCAATACTCCCAAGGTGTAGATGTAGAATACAGATCAAGCCACTAACCTGCCACCTTCAGTGCTAGAATGCCCTCTGCGTAGCGGCCTCCCTTCTGGAAGAGGCAGGTGTACGTCCCGTTGTCTGAAGCCTGGACCTTCTGGATGTGCACGGCAGCCTGCCCCTGGGTGAGGAGGTCCCTCACCAGGAATGTCCGCCCTATGTACTGGGGCATCTGCTCCTTGTGCTGCTCCCGGTGGTTCCGATACACAAACACCGCATCTGAGAACTTGGTGCGAAACCACCGCAGCTCCATGTCCTCTGCGTTCATTGGTGGGAACAGGTAGCAGGGCATAACGGCATCACCACCCAACATGGCCACAATGGGAACTGTGGAGGCAATCACCTGGAACTCATCTGTGGACATAGAACAGACTGAGAACTGAGAGACACGGGCAGGGGGCAGAGACACACAGACCACGGGGGAAGAACAGGCAGACCGGGAACAGGTGCTGGAAGATGTGACCCCCAGGCTGAGGGACTGAGCAGTGATGACTCTGAATGTGCATGAGACCCTCAGACCACAGGTGGTGGCCCAGAAAGGATGTCACAGACGCCCTCCTGAGCCTGGCCCCTGGCCCCAGGCTCTCCCATGAAGAAATTGCTACACAGGGAGTCTCCACCTTGAGCGTGCCCCAGAATCCACAGGACAGTTTGTAAAACCCAGATCACAGGTCCACCCCCAGAACTCCTGACTCACTCGGTCTGGGGTGGCCCAACAATGCCTAAGTGTTTGTGAGCAGTCCCAGGGAGCTGACTCTCCTGGTCATGAACCTCCATGGCCCTAACCTGGCCTGGGGGAGGACAGGCCTGGGAACTGAGCACAGAGCACCCTGGGGGGCTCCCTCAGAGCTCCTGGGTCACTCAGCGACACCAGGAAGCTCCCCACCTCGACTCCTAAGTTGGTTGTTTCTGTCTGTAGTTTTCTCCTCCACTGAATGCTAGGAGCACTTACATGCAAATTTTCCTTCTGCCATAAACCTGCCTCCTTAGGACTGTGTCTGCAAAATGCATGAAATCCGTTCTCTTTATATTAATAAAGTTTTTATAACAACCTGTCTCCATCCTTCTCAGAAGCTCCAATACTACTGGTTAAAGTAGAAAATTGAGCCAGCCCTCCACCCCTTCTTGGTCCTTGTCCCTCTGAGGCCTGGCGACAGGGTCACAGGAGGACACTTCTGCAGGACCAGCGGCCATGGCCCGGAACAGCCCCCCTCAGCTCTGTGCTGCTCCATCCTGGCCCATCTCCGTCATCTCTCACCCAGAGATGGCAACAGACCAGGTGCCTGGCTGTTCCCTCCCCACCCCACACTGTGATCCTCTCAGCACATGAGCTAAACCACACCCCTCCTCTGCCCAGAGCCCTCCTCTGGCTCCCCAGTCCCCTCCCCAGTGTCCCACAGGCCCAGCAGATAGACCCCAGCACACTCAGACCCCATCTCCTGCTTCTCTCCCTAGGCGCCCTCTGCTCCAGCCAGCGCTTCCCTCTGCTGCTCCTCACCCTGGCACACTGCCAGCTCTGTACTGGCTGCCCCTGTGGAATTCTCTTTCCCTGGGGGTCCTCACAGCTCACCTGCTGCTCCTAATCTCTGTTCCCATCTCACCATCTACACTGCCCGCCTCCCTGAGCATGGTTGCTGCCCACATCCCACCCACGTTCCCTGCCTCCCTCACTACCCACCACTCATCTCCTCTCACAGACACAGGCCTGTCTCCTGCTGGAAGGAGAGCCTGGGCACCCCGGGTAGCACTGTCTGCTGTGTGCACAGAGCAGAGCCTAACACACAGTCTGCATTCCATTAATATTGGGGGGACAACTAAATGGGTGCTCAGAACCCTGGAAGAGGAGGGAAACCAAAAACTGCAGGAAAGGCATTTTCAAATTATTGATACTTGACATTAAAACACCCCCAGAAAGGGCCAGCATTGAGGCCTAGAAGGTTAAGCCACCACTTGTGACACCATATCCCAACTGGACACTGATCATGTCCCAGCTGTTCCACTTCTGTGATCCAGCTCCCTGCTAATGCACCTGGGAAAGCAGTGGAAGATGGCCCACATGCCTGGGCCCCAGAACCCACATGAGAGATCCAGAGGAGGTCCTGGCTCCTGGCTTCAGCCTGGCATAGACCTAGCCATTGCAGCCATTTGGGGAGTAGATCAGTGGATAGATCTGTCTGTCTCTCATTCTCTCTGTCTGTAACTCTACCCTTCAAATAAATCAATAAATCTTTTTTAAAATTAATCAATTAATTAAATACAAAAAAAAATTGTCAAGACCCTATATGCTCATTTTATTGGTGAGTGACTGGTAGTAAATTTTTAATGAGGAGTAATGGCTGGGGGATCCCCATCGCCTTTCTAGAGCCTGGGCCCCCACAAATCTCATCCCATCCTGACTGAGAGGGCTGGGGGTCCACTCACTCCCTGAAGAAGACCCCGGGGAGGGACAGGGACAGACTCACCTGCAGAGCCCCACGTGGGCAGCTGGGCGAGGAGAAGCAGGGAGGGGAGACTGCAGAGCAGAGAGGGGCGGCAGCCGTGCTCCATGTCCTCAGAACTGGGGAGAGAGGCGGGGAGGAGGAGGCCAGGGCCAGCAGGCAGGTCAGCCCCAGAGCACCAGCAGGACAGGGTCCTCCCGTCAGCCCTCACAGCAGCAAAGCCTTCCCTACAGCCTCAGCACGCCAGCACCGTGGGGCCCACAGGATCCCGACAGCACAGACAGCTGGGCAGGGGCTCTACCAGCCCTTCTGGGGAGACTGCGGTGCCAGAGAACCCTCAGGGCAGCCTGGGGGAGACAGCCCCTCCTCTTCCCACCCGGAATGAGTTCCTCCACCTGGAAAATCAGGTCTCTTCTTTCTCAGCCCCAGGGCCCCACGGAGGAAACAATGCACTATGCACACAGTGCCCAGGACCCACCCCACCAGGACAGAGGACCCTGATTCAGGCCACTCACCCTGAAGGACGACCACCTCCTGCTTGCCTGCAGCTCTTTAACCCCCAGTGGTGACCTGGGTGTCCCTGAGAAGCGTCAGAGACAGACTCACCCTCACCGAGCCTGTGCTGCCCGTCCCAGGCGCCCAGCACCTGTGGCATCTGTGGCTGCAGCGTTCACCTAAATCTGACCCCACCCCCAGCTTCTTACTGCATGCACCTAGGTCCTGGCCCTTGGTTCAGCAGGTGCCCAGGGCCAGTTCCTGCTGACCTGCGAATCCTTACTCTCTCTGCATTCAAAGATTTCTGTGTGAGCAGCTAATGACCCTGGTGGGAGGCAGGGCCACAGAGAAGAGAAAATGAGCCTTGGTCAGAGAAAGACCCACACACTATTTATGGTGGGGGGGGGGGGGGGCAGCTTTGGTCCTGGGAAGGACGGACTCTAGGGCCCCTCTGCCAGGCTCCCTGCAGGCTCGGCCACTCTGGGTGACTCCACTGCTAGCGAGGTCCTTGGCCTTCCTGGACTCAAGTCCTGATCAGCAAATGGGGGAGGTAACAGCAGCCCCCCCACCCAGTGCAGGGAGGGGTCCATGCCTTTGTGTCACTGCAGTCACCCTGTGAGGTTAGAAAGGCTGGTGCCGCAGCTCACTAGGCTAATCCTCCACCTGCAGCACTGGTACCCCAGGTTCTAGTCCCGGTTGGGGCGCTGGATTCTGTCCTGGTTGCTCCTCTTCCAGTCCAGCTCTCTGCTGTGGCCCGGGAAGGCAGTGGAGGATGGCACAAGTCCTTGGGCCCTGCACCCGCGTGGGAGACCAGGAGGAAGCACCTGGCTCCTGGCTTCAGATCGGCGCAGCGCACTGGCCGTAGCTGTCATTTGGGGAGTGAACCAACGGAAGGAAGACCTTTCTCTCTCTCTCTCTCTCTCTCTCTCTCTCTCACTGTCTAACACTGCCTGTCAAAGAAAGAAAGAAAGAAAGAAAGAAAGAAAGAAAGAAAGAAAGAAAGAAAGAAAGAAAGAAAGAAAGAAAGAAAGAAAGAAAGCGCGCCTGGTCCCAGCTGACACTGAGGAGCAGAAGTGAGGGAAGTGAATAAAGGCTCAGTGCTCACTGCTGTCCTGGTCTCCCTGGACTGAGACATCCTCAGCCGCCCCCTCCCCCTGCCCTGTGCCCCACCACACTCTCAGCCTCCTGCCCAGCCAGCTGCTCCTGCCTTCCTCCTCCTCCCCCACAGGCGTCTTCAAGCCAGCTTACCTGCTCCTCCTTCCTCCCAGCTGTGAAAGCTGTGACTTCCTGCAGGGTCTAACATTCAGCAGCTCCAGAAACTTCAGAGCCACAGAGACCCCAGCAGACTGCAAATCTCAGCGCACAACCCCTGCTTCCAGGTCCTTGCTGGGGCCCAGGAGACCTGACATCCAGGAGGCTGTGGGCACCCAGGAGACCAGAGGAGCAGCAGAGCTGGCACAGTGCAGCAGCCTCTGCAGAGGCCCTGGCCCTGGGGCCCACCAGGACCTCCCAGCCAGAAGAGCCAGCCCCTGTGTCTCCTTCCACCATCTACAGTGAAAGCTTGCAGAAGCAGCCTGGGCAGGGAGTGCCCTGCCCTGTGGACCTCGCTCCCTGTTGTCAGCAGGAGCACAGGGCAGGAGACAGCACCACAGCTGCCCTGGGAGTGGCTGCAGCACAACCTGCTTAGAGCTCACAGTGCCCTCAGCCCCTCCCCCTCAGCTACCACCTGTCCCTGCCCAGCACTGAGACTTCCCCAAAGCTGAAAGATGCTGGGAACGTTCAAGAAACCATGGAAGAAACTAAATTTTAGTCCATGGCTATTTAGTGTCAGGATCTGAGCTACACACAGTAGATTCCTGCAGCTCCTGTCACAGCTGGGAACAGATGCAGTAGGACAGGAGCCCTGCACCTCCTGACACCAGGAACTTGCTAGGGGAGGGAGGGCCTGGAGCTGCAGAGATTCTCCATCTCACTCCCCACCCCTCACCCCCATCCCTCCCATTCCCCCAGACTTCACGCCAGCCCCACCCCATCCCTCCAATTCCCCACCCCTCACCCCAGCACTTACCCCAGCCCTCCCATTGCCCCAGCCTCACCCCAGCCCCAGCTGCAGACAACTCAGAGTGAGAAAGAGCTGCCAAGGGCCTTGGACTCTCAGCTGCCCCCATGATGACACCACCTGGACCCTGATCTCAGCCTGCAACCCAGCCTTTGCCCTGAGTATCAGGCAGGAGAGGGAGAGGGAGAGGGAGTGCCCCGGCCAAGGTCAGATTTTCTGTAAGAAACACTTCCAGGACCTGAAGAGCTCCAGCAGGAGGGAAGTACACAGCCACCCCTGCCCCCGCCCAGCTCCCCAGGACCACTGCCCAGCGCCCTCACATGACTGCTCTTCACCAAGCCACCAAGGATTTCTTCCTCAAATAGAAATTATCCTGATGCTGTTGTGTCACTGTCTCACTTCTTGTTAACGCACAGGTCATACCTCTTAGTTATTTCTAGTGCTTTCAAACTAGTTTTCCATAAATATCTAAGCCATAAGACAACAGGTAACACAAAGTACATGTGGGTGCTGAAACCCCATATGTGAGCCATGAACACTGCCTCTAGGGTCTGAGTTAGGAAGAAACCGGATCAGGAGCTGCAGCCAGATATCCAGCCCGGGCATTCTGGTGTGGACGCAGGTGTCTCAGCCTGGGTCTTTTTTTTTTTTTTTTTGTAGAAAACTTTTATTTAATAAATATAAATTTCAAAACTAAAACTTTTGGATTACAGCAGTTCTTCCACCCATAACCACCCTCCCACCTGCAAACCATCCCCTCTCCTACTCCATCTCCCATCCCATTCTTCATTAAGATTCATTTTCAATTATCTTTATATACAGATCAACTTAGAATATACTAAGTAAAGATTTCAACAGATTGCACCCACACAGACACACAAATTATAAAGTACTATTTGAAGACTAGTTTTACCATTAATTTGTATAGTACAGATCATTAAAGACAGAGGTCCTACATGGGGAGCAAGCGCACAGTGACTCCTGCTATTAATTTAACAATTGACACTCTTATTTATGATGTCAATAATCACCTGAGGCTCTTGCTAAGAGCTGCCAAGGCTATGGAAGCCTCTTGAGTCCACAAACGCCAACATTATTTGACAAGGCCATAAGCAAAGTGGAAGTTCTCTCCTCCCTTCAGAGAAAGGTACCTCCTTCCTTGATGGTCCGTTCTTTCTGCTGGGATTTCACTCACAGAGATCTTCATTTGGTCATTTTTTACCACAGTGTCTTGGCTTTCCATGCCTAAAATACTCTCATGGGCTTTTTAGCCAGATTCAAATGCCATTAAGGGCTGATTCTGAGGCCAGAGTGCTGTTTAGGGCATTTGCCATTCTATGAGTTGCTGTGTATCCCACGTCCCATGATGGATCGTTCTCTGCCTTGGCCGGCGCACCGCGCTGATACAATGGCAGGAGACAGGCGGAGTGGACAGTGAGAGAGAAAGACAGAGAGAAAGGTCTTCCTTTGCCGTTGGTTCACCCTCCAATGGCCACCGTGGCCAGCGTGCTGCAGCCGGCGCACCGCGCTGATCCGAAGGCAGGAGCCAAGTGCTTCTCCTGGTCTCCCATGGGGTGCAGGGCCCAAGCACTTGGGCCATCCTCCACTGCACTCCCTGGCCACAGCAGACAGCTGGCCTGGAAGAGGGGCAACCGGGACAGAATCCGGCACCCCGGCTGGTACTAGAACCCGGTGTGCCAGTGCTGCAGGCAGAGAATTAACCTAGTGAGTCGCGGTGCCAGCCTGTTCTCTCCTTTTTAATTCTATCAATTATTAGCAGACACTGGTCTTATTTATGTGATCCCTCTGACAACTAATCCTATGTTTATGATCAGTTATGAACTTAAACTGATCACTTTAACTAGTAAGATGGCATTGGTACCTGCCAACTTAATGGGATTTGGAGTCCCATGGCAAGTTTTTAGTTTCACCCTTAGGGGTAAGTCTAAGGGAGTGTGTGCCAAATTGTACATCTCCTCCCTCTCTTATTCCTACTCTTGTTTCTAACAGAGATCAATTTTCAATTGAGTTTACACACCTAAGAATAATTCTGTGTTAAATAAAGTGTTCAACCAGTGCTATTAAAGAAAAATAGTAAAAAGAATAAAATATAAGCTGTTCTTCGACAGTCAGGACAAGGGCTGATCAAGTCATTGTTCCTCAGAGTGTCAGTTTCACTTCCACAGGTTTCCTTTTAGGTGCTCAGTTAGTTGTCATAGATCAGGGAGAACATATGGTATTTGTCCCTTTGGGACTGGTTTATTTCACTCAGCTTGATGTTTTCCAGATTCCTCCATTTTGTTGCAAATGACCAGATTTCATTTTTTCTACTGCTATGTAATATTCCATAGAGTACATATCCCATAATTTCTTTTCTTTTTTTTTTTATTTTTTGACAGGCAGAGTGGACAGTGAGAGAGAGAGACAGAGAGAAAGGTCTTCCTTTGCCGTTGGTTCACCCTCCAATGGCCGCCGCGGCCGGCGCGCTGTGGCCGGCGCACCGCGGCCGGCGCACCGCGCTGATCCGATGGCAGGAGCCAGGAGCCAGGTGCTTTTCCTGGTCTCCCATGGGGTGCAGGGCCCAAGCACCTGGGCCATCCTCCACTGCACTCCCTGGCCACAGCAGAGAGCTGGCCTGGAAGAGGGGCAACCGGGACAGAATCCGGCGCCCCGACCGGGACTAGAACCCGGTGTGCCGGCGCCACTAGGCGGAGGATTAGCCTAGTGAGCCGCGGCGCCGGCCAAGGATTAGCCTATTGAGCCACAGCGCCACAAACAGCAAATTTTAAAGTAATCACAGATCATTAAAACTATAATAGTATAACATTCCTAACCATCAGTTTGACAAAGATATGAAACAAAGTTTCTCAAAACTATATTTTCAGCAATACTAATATACACAGACATTTCATTTTGTTTGCTTTTGTTTTTGTTTTGTTTTAAATTTCAGCTCCCACATATAAGGGAGAACATGCGGTGTTTGCCTTTCTGGGTCTGCTTATTCCAGTCAACATGATGTCCTCCAGTTGCATCCATTTTGTTACAAATGATAGAATTTCATTCTTTTTTATATTGTATATATTGTATATTTTTATATTGTATATATTGTATATTCCATTGTATATACATACCACATTTTCTTTTAAAATATTTATTTATTTATTTATTTATTTGAAAGGCAGAGTTACATAAAGGGAGAGGCAGAGAAAGAGAGAGTTCTTCCATCCACTGGTTCACCCCCCAAATGGCTATAACAGCCAGGGCAGAGCCAGGCTGAGGCCAGGAGCCAGAAGGTTCATCCGGATCTTCCACATAGGCGAAGGGACCCAAGCACTCAGGCCAACTTCTACTGCTTTCCCAGGCACATTAGCAGTGAGCTAGATCAGAAGTGGAGCAGCTGGGACTCGAACCGGTGTCCATATAGGATGCCGGCACTGCAGGTGGCAGCTTTACCTGCTACGCCACAGCACTGACCCCAAACCACGTTTTCTTTATCCACTCATCTGATGACAGACACCTTGGCTGATTCCAGATTTGGGCTATTGTTACCAGTGTTGCTATAAACATGGTGGTGCAGGCATCTCTTAGAAACAACGGGTTCATGTCTTTTGGGTACAAACCCTGTATCAACTCTGAACCCTTAGTGTTAAGGATTCATGGATTAAGCAAGAGTGGAGGCTCGATCTAATTATGGCCTCTGAGAGGCGGTGGGAGGTCTCTGGGCCCCTGGGGGCCACCCTCAGAAAGTAATGCTCACGAGAGGCCCAGTTATCTGAGCCGAGTTCCGCCAGCTCCTCTCTCTGCCCCTTCTCCCATGTGGTCACTCCTCTGTGCCCACTCTGGCACTGCCAGACTCCATCAGTCACCACACTAACAGGGTCGCCTGATCCTAAATAAACCTTCCCTTCCCAAGAAGTTCTGCTCGGAAATTTAGTTAAAAAGATGACTAGTTCACTTGTGGTTAGTAAATAAGAAAAATAATTGAAATACATACCATGCTGTTTAGATAGAGCAGAAAAGTACAGAGAAAACCAGAGTGTGCGGGAAGTGTCACAGAGGGCTTCCAGTTCTGTCCTGGGGTAGCCAAGGAAGACGTCGCAGCCTTCTGAGGTGCAAGAATGAATCCTGCACGTAGCTGCAGGAGGAAACCGTTCAGGCAGTGGCAAGGGCAAGTGCAAAGGCCCCAGGTGAGACTGCGTCCTGCCCAGAGAGCTGGGAGGCAGCCGGTGAGGCAGGGAGCAGCAGAGGAGTGACTGGAGAGAAAATCAGAACTGTGCCGGGCAAGAGAGGGCGGGGCAGGGCTATCAGATGTGGACCAGTGATCAGAGAGGTTTGAGCAGAGTGACACAGCCTGATCCACACCAATTCCCTCTGCTGCTGTGTAGACGCCCGAGGACAGCGAGGACAGCCGCAGAGAGGGAAGTGAGGAATCTCGAGAGATGAGTCTGGATAGATTTTGAGGATAGGGCCCATGGAAGTTAAGATATATCGGAGGGGCCAGCACTGTGGAGTAGTGGGTAAAGCCACCACCTGCAGTGCTGGCATCCCATATGGGCACCGGTTCGAGACCCAGCTGCTCCACTTCCCATCCAGCTCTCTGCTATGGCCTGGAAAAGCAGTAGAAGATGGCCAAAGGCCTTGGGCCCCTGCATCTGCGT